CCTAGATGATACTATGTTTTTAGGGATATCACATCAAGGATCTGGCTTCTCTCCCACAGAGCTGTTATATGTTCCCCTTGCAACTAACAAGCAGTGGAGAGACATTCTAAGGCTGTGCAAGCAGCCTATTTCTTATCAAACTTTTTCCTCTGGATTTAGCATCTGTTGCTGGTTCTTGCCTTTACTAATCTCTACAACAATGGTGACAAGTCTCTCCATGTTGATGAGTCAAGAGTCTCCTATCTAGCTGTTTTCTCTTCTCTTCCCATTGATTTATCGTTCAGTGTAGACTGCAGAGCCCTATTTATTCCATGGTTATCATCTACAGCCACTGGCAATTATTTTGATACTCTCCTCTCAAATTAGATTATTCTTTGCAGCCCTAGAGGGCAGAACTTGCAATTATAGGGACAAACTCCCAAGAGGAACAGATTTCAACCTAATGGAAGAAAAGCTGCAAAAAGATACCATTCTCAGCCTTCCCTGGTGGTGCAGCGGGTTAAGCACAGCACTAAGAAGCTAAAGCCGCTTCAACATGAGTTCAATCCCCACCCCAGAGCTGACCCACATGGCATGGCAGACCTCTCTTATCTGCCCACTGCTCCCCTTGACAATGTGCTTTGTCGATCTGCCTGTTCTGCTCCCTACTCTGTCTCTGGTGAATCCTCTCACCACTCCTGCACCTCTAGCCTGTACCCCAGTTCTGTATGCATAAATAAATAAATCTTTTTTAAAAAGGATGCAATTCGGCCCTCCCTGGTGGCGCAGCGGGTTAAAGCATTGCACTAAGAAGCTAAAGCCACTTCTGCATGAAGTTCGATTCCCGTCTGCCCTGGAGGTGACCACATGGCGTGGCAGACCTCTCCTGACCTGCCCGCTGCTCCCCTCAGCAGTGTACTTCGTTGATCTGCCTGTTCTGCTCACCACTCTGTCTCTGGTGAAGCCTCTCGCAGCCCCTGAGCCTCTGGCCGGTACCCCAGTTCTGTATGCACAAATAAATAAATCTAAAAAAAAAACAAAAAAAAAAAAAAAAAAACAGATGCAATTCTTGATAATTAAGACTCTACTTCAGTCAGTAGGGAACTGTCCATCATGGGAAGTATTTACTAGTCCTTTAACCACTTGTCAGAGAAGCAACTCATGCCTCAGCTTGGGGCTATCAAAAGCCCCTTACAAATCTTAGAGTTGAGACCTGCAGCAGAATCCTGGAAAGGGGGAGGGAGTGCTGCACAGTTTAGAGGAATGTTCAGAAGAAAACTAAACTCTGAGAAGAGGAAACATGCAGGCCACCTGTTGGGAACCATCCAACCCAGGCCTGCAGAAGCAGGAGCTGCACTGAATAAAATTCTTAATCCTAATCCTCTTAAATTTCTTGAGCATCACTGCATGCCAAAAACCATGCAAAATCCTATGAGCCAAAAAAAGAATATGAATCAGACCCAGGCCTAGAAAAGCCCCAGACTCATGAGATCATCCTGTAAGTTGATAGAGGAGGGTCTCCCAGCTATCTGGAGGATTAGAAAAAGTGTCAGAGAAAGAAACTGACTTCTCAAGAATGAGTGGCAGCTCACCAATCAGACAACAACCACTAGAATTCTGTCCAGCAGAAGAGAGAATCACCAAGTCCACAATTCTGTGAATACACACACACACACACACACGTACACACAGTATATTTATAGATTAATTATATGCAGAGAGAAAGATATACACATGTATATTAAATGCATGTATACTGACAAATATACTTTCTATACTTACAAATAGACTTTGTATGTGTTTTTCTAATGGGTGCATGTGTGGGCAGAAGCAAGGACACTGAATGTAAAGAACACAGTGGGTGAGTATTTTAGAATCCTGGTCAGAATATGCTGCTCCTCGTCCCTTACCAACAGATCTGTGTTCACAAGAAGTTGTAAGAAAAAATGCTCTGAACTGGCTGTAAGTCACGCAGGAGACTCCTACATCTAGCTGCCTTCTCAGCTCCTCATCTTCTGGATCTTCACCCTCCAGACCCTGAGCTGAGGGTACACAGCATCATAGCCAGAGACAGAGGCCCATGTGCTGACACTGGGCATTACTTAGGTGTCCTGGCCAGAGCAATTCTCTCTTGGATGGCTGAAGGGACATCTGGTTACTGGTACTCACTGGAGCCTCTGAAGTCAGTCCAGTAGTGCAGGCCCAGAGAGGTCACTGACTAGGGAGATTTAATTCATTTGAAGAGATGAATCATTCTTCTGAACAATGATAAAAAACTGCCGGCTTGTATCTCCTGTACTATGCTGAGTGAATCCATGAACACATGCTATATTACTCACCTATTCTGAGGCTGTGTCAGACATAATTAATCTACCCACAGTGCTCTCTAACACTGACACCAAAGCGTCATCGTCCCCAGACTGGTTTCTAGGCAGACTTCTTCTAGGCAGTGGTTACCAAGTGCTGTGAAGGGCCACCTCACAGTTTCTAAACATAGTTCATATTTGATTCTCACCTTACATTTTGCATTTCTTAAGACTGTCATAAGATCAGACAAAACAGGTGTGGTCCTACCAATGTTAAAGAAGGGGCAAGAGAGCCAGGGGTTGAAGGTTCTTCTAAGGTCCCACAGTTGGAAGGGGATGGTGCTGAGATGATGGGAAGACCTCACTACCGTCCTTTCCCACTTTCGCTTTTGCTCCCTGTGTTGAAAGCTGAGGAGATACCTGGTCAAAACATTCTGTCTGTCACAAGAGTCAACCAGAGTTGGTGAGTGATGAGATGCAACTGATGATATGGAGCTCAAAACCCAGCTCAAGTGCAAGTCACCCCTTTCAGGAAGACCTTATCAAAAGCTACTCCTTCTTCCAAGGTTATGAGTTTTGCACATTTATCTCTTTATTTCTAATAAGGAGCACGATGTTGTCATACGTAAAATGTTCAATAAATGGTTACTGAATTGAAGGGAGGCAGATTTCTGGGTGTACAGTGAGTGTATGGTACAGTAGCAAGGCGAAAAAATAGATTCATCCAGGTTTTATTCCCTTGTATGATCCTAGGATGCTGAGACACAACAGACCTCAATTTCCACATCCATAAAATGGGGAGAATACCATCTGTTTCATGAGGATATTAATTAAATTAAATGAGACAAAATTTAAAAGTTTGTAAGAGTTTCATGCCTTTTGCACCAACATGGATGGAGTTGGAAGGGATCATGCTTAGTGAGATAAGCCAGAAAGAAAAGAAAATACTGGATGGTTTCACTCATAGCGGGAGTATAAAGGAACAGGGGGAAAAATAATAATATGAACAACTATATTCCAGAGACATTTGACGGGGGTGGAGTGGGGAATGAGATAAAAAAAATGGTGGGGGAGGGGAGAGTGCACCCATCACAGGTGAACTGGTGATGGGAAGTCTACGGGGATTACAACTGAGATGGAAAATGTACAAAATGATGTAAAAATTTTAAAAAGTCTGTAAGAGTTTGGTATGAGTGATGAAGAGAGGAAGAAGAGAAATGTGGCAGAGAAACTTCAAGGTGACTTCCAATTATCTTCCCACTTAAGTTCAAGCCCTTATACAGTCACTACCCCATACATCCCCCACCCCCAGAGTGAGTGAGGCAGGAGCTGATAGAATATGGCAAAGGTAGTGAGATGTCACTCCCATGGTAATGTCACTCCCGTGGTAATGTCACAATATAAAATACCATCTCACTATCAGACCTGCTCCAGCTTTCTCCCTTGACAACACTGAAGCAATCAACTACAGCTTCTACAATGGGAGACTCACATAGCAAAGAGCTACAGGAAGCCTCAGATCAATACCAAGAAATCGGGACTCACATTCTTTGAGCTGCAAAAAATCACTGAACTTGACCCCATCCCAGTCAAATCTTCAGAAGAGAACTCAACCCGGGTGAACACCTTGACTACAGCTTTGCCCCTGAGTAAGCTGTGCCTTGACTCCTAAGGCACATACACTATGAGAAGATATCTGTGTATTGCTTTAAGTCTCGATGTTTGTGACAATTCTTAATATGACAGCATAAAAACAAACACAGAGGGAAAGAAAACATTCATAAACCAGTCTTAGGAAAGCAAGGAAACATCTTTCTCGCTCAGTGGCAGGACAGTCCTAGTTTCAGCTGAGGTCAACTTGGCCATTTTCAGGTACAACCTCCAATGGTGGGAAGAGGTAAAGCAACTTCTCCCCCCTTGAAGGATAAGACACTTTTCCTCAGTAACACATGCCTGAGGGCTGCTCGCCTTCCCTAGGGCTCTTTCTTGGCCGGGAAGAGTCTGCCTCAAAGGCTGCCAGCAATAATAATCAGCCTAATGCCGTCTAATTGACCTCCCATCTTCTCAGTCTGCTCTGGGCTCTCAGGCAGAACCACTGAGATGCTTAAAACCCGAGGCAGAGTGGCACAGACCTCCAGCCACGTGCCTCCCCAGGTGAACCTTCTCCCACTTTGCAGCCAAGACATTAAAAATCCCCCCACAGCTGCTTCCCTCCCCCTCCTATTAAAACCAGAACCAAGCCTCTGTGGAGTGATCCTTTGATTTTTCAGACCCAATTAGAGTTGGCAGGATAAACCAGCCCCACGTTGTGAGTTTTTTTTTCTTCTTTTTTTTCTGAAATACTTCCAGAATAATTCACCGAAAAAGTACCATCAGAGGGAGGAAAGGAGAGCACCAGAACGACAGTCAGAGGCAAGAAAGGAGTTAGAGGGCCCCTCCCGGACCACCAGCATTTCCCTCCAGTCTTTCTTCATACAAAATCAAGATGAGATTGCTGTGTGGGTGACTTAATAGAAAAATCAGGCTGGCACCCACACTTCCTGAGCACAAAACAGTCAAATAAATTATAAACACGTGTGACAGGAACGCCACATTTTTCTTTTTAGAGATTTCAGTGTTCCCTCCTCCTTGTCTGACTGAATCCTTTGCTGGCTTCCTTTGTGGAAACCACTGCGGCAGGGGGTGGAGGGGGGCCCACACAAAATCTGCACTTACCCACGACCTGGATAATCTGGGCCAGGAGGACACCGTCCGTCACATCTTGCTGGAGATCCTTGATGAGACGTTTGTGGCCCGATTTGGCTAGATAATGATTGGCCCAGTCCGTGTAGATCTGCAAAAAAGAAAAGAGACAACTTTAGGAAGCCAGTCAGATCCCACCTCAGAAATCTGAGACAGCTGCTTGGGTCTGGGCAACAGCCAGTGTCCCACCGGGGAGCAGTCAGTCGGCAGGGGGGCGGCCAGTGTCATTAGCATGCAGAACACTGTGCCCAAGAGGCATTCAGCTCATCTGAGCTGGGCTTCCCCCTATTGAGAGATATGCCGCCAAGGCTCGGAAAAGCTAAAGAAAGCATCCAAACACCAGGGGCCTGAATGGGACAGGGGACACGGAACTAAACAGTCTGCCCCAAGGCTTTGAGAGGCTGCAGCTCTAAATGCAACAGCAGTCTCCCCGACCCCACTGCCACCACCCCCACCCCTTCCTATCTTTTCCTCTTTATTGAGAAAACGTATGGGGAGGTTACCACCCAACAGACATCTTCTAATGGGCCATTTCAGGGTAGGGAGGGCTATTGAGGCTGCCCAGTTCTCAGGAGCCAGGGTCCCTTGTATAGAAGCCAAGTGGGGAAACACAGAGCCCTTCAATTATACTTGTGTGAAGCAGTTTTTGATGGTCTCACCATCATCTCAAATTTAATTTAAAAACCCAGCATCATTTTCACTGTTGGGATTCTGTGAACTAAATCCCTGGCAAATGCAACACCTTTAAATACAGAATATGTGTGCACAGCACCCGGAAAGGTGGAGAATGGGTCACCCACACTCGGGAAAGCAGAGCCCCTGGGGACATGAGGGAGTCACTCAATCACCAGTTCGGAAGAATATCTAATTGCAACCAGGTCGACAAGCACAAGATAATTCACCTAAAAACTTCTTAACTGACATATGCCAATAAAAAATTATTTTTACTTCCTATCAATCTAGAGTTCTAAGTTCCTAGATGTATCAGTGCTTTTGTGGGGGGAACCAGGTAGGTCTGTGTAATTAGCTCTTTTTCTGCTAAAATGATATAAATGATTGTTCAAAAAATGCATGAATCCAAACATTTGCAGAAGTTTGAGCTTATAATGCCCTGAAAAGATACAAAGAGGAAGCCCCTGACCTGACCTTCAGCAGAACTTGGGAAGGGAGGTAAAGAGGTGGCAGAAAAGGAGCCTTCCTTTGGTGTCCACAGACAGACTTGCCTTAAATCGCAGCTGTCATGCTGCCAACTCTCCTCTGCCCTTTGACCTGGGTGTCCTCATTTACAAAGTAGGGATAATAATACTATGTCATCTGGCTATTATGAAGATGAAACACACTCCTGTACATGAAGGTCAGTGAAGCTGGCACTTGTAGGTGCTTGGTAAATAAAAATAATAATTAGAAATTTTACAACTGGCACTATTGAGTAAATCGTAACAAAACCAGCCACAGGCTCTACCCCGAATCTCCAGAACACGAAAGACTCTGGGACTCCCTTTCTCCTGTCCATGGCACAATTTCAAGAGTCTTAGAGCATTCCCCCTTCTGGGATTACAAAGTGAAGTTGTGTAACAAGGTGGTGCCCAGGAAAGGGGGAGTTTCCAGGTTCCCTGCCCCACGGAAAGGAAAGTGGAGCTGAGCAGCGAAGAAAAGAAGCTGGAGACAGACTGGAGAAAGAAGGAGGCAGGATGGAGAGCCAGAGGACAACTGCAGGAGCAGAGACACACAGAGAAACAGCACTTGCTTTTTGGCCCTGGGCTGGTTGAAACAGATGTGGATGAGAGACCAGAGGGGAGGTGAATAGTGACAGCTTTTATCTTGATTTTGATGTTGCTCTTTTCCTCCCAGACTTGTCTGGCCATTTCTGACTCTTTCCTATGGGTCCCAGCCAGTGCCTTTTGGGTAGACTTTTACCCACGAAGGGATGGGTGACTTGGGTGCTCAATTTAGAAACTACATTCTTTGCCTTTTCTGTATTACACACTAATCATATTAAAGTTTCTTTACACTACAAGTCTATAGTTTTGTCTTGATGCAGTGGATGGCAGAATCTGTTTCAGCAGGCAGGTTTCGGGGTTCTGGGGTGCCCCTCGGCCTGCCCTGTCACAGTAGATTGTAAAAGAACAGCAAGCCAGAAACCAGTCAGGCTGGTCAGTGAGTGAGGGCTTGCCTCCCTAACTAGGAGACACCCACAATGCTCTCTCAAACCCGGAGGGACCTTGTTGGCCCTGCTTCACGGACTGTGAAAACATGACAATGCTTACTATCACCTGCCTCAAGAACTAAGATGAGAAGGGGCCATGGACAAGGAATTCTGAGTGGAGGTGGTGGTGGTGTCGTCTCTGTCCCCTTTCTAAATGACAAAGGGAACGCTGAACAAGATGCATGGTCTCTAGAAACCAGCTTTCTAAGTGCATGATCCAGCAGGGACCAAGGCAAATCAAACTCTGTTTAAGGAGTGTAGACACACACACACACACACACACACACACACACACACACACTGTGGAGTTGCAGCGAGGCCATGTGTATATCTGATATTCCAGGGAGAACTTGTCAAGTTCTACAGTGTTCAGGATGACTCTGCCAAACAAGCAGCCCTGTCTACCCCAAGCTGCTTAAACAAGACTTCGTCTCGCAATTTTGATCAGCCTATCTGACACAGCCATTAACCTTCCCAGAACACAACTCCAAAATCACTGTTCCCCACTTTCCATGGAATGGAAGGCACACAAAAGCAACTGCAGGCAGTCTTACACTCTTTGCACTGGTACATAGAAAGTGCCAACTCTCACAAAGCAATTGCAGGCAGTCTTACACTCTTGCACTGGTACATAGAAAGTGCCAACTCTTTTGTAGAGACAGTGGTATGAATGAACCTTAGAGCAGGGTCTTGGGATCTGACCAAATCAAGTTGCCATTGACCTGTGCAAGTGAATTTCCATTAATTTTTCTGTAACTCAACTTTGTACTGCATAAAAAGGAAATTAAACCTTTGAACGTCTTACAAGGCAGAGGTTGGTAACCTGAGACCCAACCCCAACCCAGCTGACCCCTGTTTTTAATGCACAAATTTCTACTGAACATGGGCTCATCCATGTATTGTCTACGGGGCTCCCATCCAACCATGGCAGAGTTGAGTCGTTGTGAACGACACACACCTCCACTATTTACTATCCAGCTCTTTACAGCTCTTTAATCTGGCCAGTCTGTGATACAGAAACTGAATGAGATGTTGTGCCCATATATAGCAAGTCAGCAGTAGTAATAGTTACAAGTACTTTTAGAACTGGGCATGCCTCTCTTCCCTATCTCTCAATTTGTGAGATCCCATCTGCCTGAATCTTCCTCCACTGGGTGACCATTCAAGGATCACATTCAATGCCCACCTCCATCAAATCCACTTCCTAAATGCCTCCTGAGGGATTTGCTTTGGCTCCATAAGATGCTGATGCATGGACTGTAGAGCTCTTTTATATTAGTACCATCTTCTCATCCTCACTACCAGATTCTAGCAGAATCCATGTGTCACCTATTTCTGCAGCCAACTAGTGCCTTGCAGGGAGAGGACATACAGTAGGAGGTCAGCAAGTGGTAGCTGGGTTCAGGTGAACAGAGAGAAAAGGGGTAAATCCTTGGGGAACTGATTAGCCTTGAGACTTAAACAATCTAAGCTCTCAGTGAAGCTGTCAGCCGGAATCTTGAATTTCTTTATTGACTGAAAAACAGAAAGAGCAGGAATGACAAATCACTCCATAGCCCAAGCTCATTAATTAGGGCCCATCCAATAAGAATCTTAATTATTTATAGTTTCACCTCTCCTCTTCCATCCTAGGTCCCCAAATTCTTGAAAAGAACCATGGGAAGACAGCTAGATTTATTTTGAAAACAGTTTTCAAAGGTCATGCTAAGCACTGACAGTTTAGTCCCATCACCATCACTTCTTGCGGTAGCTCCTGCCAGGAAACCATTCTTCCAAGGGACGCCTTTGGAAAATGAGCTCACTATCAATCAAGGACTAACGTATGCTGGACGCCCTGTCTGTTTCCAGAATCCAGAAGGAATTTTGCCGAGCGTCTCCTGTCCTGAAGTTCTGACTGCTCTGCTGTCACCCTGGAGCCTACTAACCCTTGATCTGAGAACTTTCAACAGAAAAGGATAAGACAAAGGGAACCACCTTCTAGGAAAGAATAAAACATTCTACCTAGCCCCAACTCCAAATCACCAAGCCACTCTAGAGAATAAAACTCTAGGAAAAGGTTCTGGAATTGTTTCACACGAGTATTTAAGAAGGAATCTTTCTCACTCTGCTGAGTTTACCTCTCTCTCTACCCCCTCTAACCCAGTCTCCATGCTCCAGAGCGCTCTGTGCTGTCAAAGGCTTGAAGAGATAAAAGGGGAAGGAGGCAGCGACAGCTGAAATGTGAAGTCATTTTGATTCACTTTATTACCCCTGACAGAATTTCAAGGAGAGTGTCATTTGTTTGCTTATAACTCCACATCATTCCACATCATACCAGCTGAAATCAAAGAGGAAAAATTTTGACAGATCCATTGAAGTAAAAAAAAAAAAAAACACCTGATTATTAGTTGTAATAAGAAAACTGGTAATAATTGCATTGTGTTAAACCAACAGAGATAATAATGTTGTTGATACTGCACTTAGCACTCAAATGAAGCACTCAAAAAAAAAATAATAATCCAAACAGATGAAGGGATAAGCACACTTTGTGAGGAATCCAAGAACAATTCCATAAAACAATTGCAGTTAAACACAATTTTATGAAAATCAAAATGCATCATCTGTTAGGAAGGGCAAAGCCTGCAGAACACATCTGAATCCCCAGCATCTCACTGGGAACATGATCCCTCCCCCACAGAACACACACATTCTTATAACCCTCCACATAGCTCTTTAACTACTTGGGGTTAGGGTAAGAGAGGTCAGAATTGGCAGGGGGCTTCTCCCTCCCCCCACCCCCACTTGCACCTCTCTATCAGAGCACAATAGAACCTCTCTCATTACAGACCTCCCATGGTTAAGTCTGCGGCCTTGTCATATTCAAGTGAGTGAAATGGTACCCCAGT